TATCTACACACCTATGCTTATACCTCTATCCATACCTTTGCTTCCTAGATATTTTCTGGGTTCGTCTGGGTAAACTAGAGAAACCAATCCACAGAAACTAATATATGTATAAAAGAAAATTTTATATATAGGGTAAGTGTACATTCAGAAAGCATCCCAACCCAGTCCAGGCCGAGCCCATAAGTACGACGTAGCCCATATGTCTGACACCAATCTACAAAGTCTTCCTCAAACTCACAAAGCACACAATGAAGCCGAATGCAGGAGGGCCACAGGCCAGTGGGTAGAAGCTCTTTGAATCCAGTAGCGGTGTAGTATCTCAGTGTAGGCAGGATCACCATGCAGCTTCTCCAGCACCCAGGGCTGCATCAGGGTAAGTCCATGTGGCTTACCCCCAGGGATGTCTCACAGGAAGTGAGCCTTGCCAGCAAAGGCAACTGCACACTGGTCCGACCATCAGAGAACAAGAGACCAGAGAACCAGGAAGGCGAGGCTCACCGAGCCTTCTCTGCCCTTCAATTAATCCCACATGTATTTATCAGCCAGGTTGGCACAATAAACCTTAACTGTTTAATTTCCTGTTTCCTTTTACCTTCCTCCTGCCCCACCATCACACTGATCCTTCTTCTGCCTCTTAGTTGTTTCTCCGCTAGATTGCTGTTGCTCTGACACCACGAGGATCTCTATGTCCTCCTCGTTGTTGATTTTAATTCCCTGGGTTTTCCCCTGTGTATCGCATTGTTTGCTCACCACTCCCTTCCCCAACATCCTCCGCCGCCCATGTCCCTCTGGAACCATCTAGACCCCCTATCAGCACACCAAGCCCAGAGGATGGTGTCCCTGCATGGAGCTGGTAAGGCACAGAGAGGACTGTAGGGTTGACAATAGTTCAAGACGTGATGTCCCCTTACTGGAGCATACCCTGACCCAGGGCAATACTGGGGACACACAGTGGGGAGTTAGTATGGTCTGAACACCCCATAGCGGGGTGAACCAAGAAGGGAATATAACAGATCAACAATGGGAGCTAAGCCAAGCCACAAAGCCCCCAAGGAGCCCCCTAAATAGACCTCAGGCTAGGGTGGCCAGTTCCCAGAATTCCCCCAGCACCAGTGGGGAGATAGTCATAAAGGTCAGTGGATAGACCTGGAACCATGTGTGCTTTTTGTCTTTTTTTTGCTAGTTATCTTTCTCTCTTTCTCTTTTTATTCAATCTTTTATTTTCTTTTGGTTTGGTCTACTTTATTGTTGGTTTTCCTACTTATATAATATAGGCATGGGAAGTAAATACATAGCTTTGAAAAATATATATTCTGGTTATTTTGGGGATTCTCCTTCATGGTGTTTATAAATATATATATAAAAATACAACTTACTTTAGCATGTAACACGGTAAGCTGATATATAACTTACTTTACCATGTAACACGGTAAGCTGTATATAACTTACTTTACCATGTAACACAGTAAGCTGTTACCTAGATGTTTACTATAGATAAGCCCAAACTGAAGTTCATAGCAAATTGTTTCATATAGTAGCTATATGTATAGTAGCTTTATTCATAACTTTCCAAATTGGATAAAACATAAATGTTATTCAATAAGTGAATGGAATATTACTCAGTAGTGTTAAGAATCTTTTTTCATATCCATATTAAAGTGGGTTAATAAGACTTATTCTAAATGAAATAAGCCAATGTCAAAAATATACTTATTGTGTCATTTTATTTATATGACATTCTGGAAAGTATCAAAACTATAGAGACAGAAAACATCAATTGTACCCAGGTGTAGAGGGAGTTGGCTTACAAAGGGTGTCCCTCCATGGTATAAATGTTAACATTTTTGGCTGCTAACCCCTAGGTTGGTGATTCAAATCCAGTTATAATCAATCTAGAGAGTTGACAATCTGATTTTGAAAGGGTACACGTTTCAAAACCTTATAAAGTATAATCATAATCAACCTGAGATTTACAGGTTTGATTTTTGGTTTGGATTACAGAGGAATAGCATGAGGGTATTTGAATAATGGAAAACTGTAATGTACCCTAAATATAGTAATGATTACATAAATCAGGAACCTGGTAAAACTCATATAGTTGCAGTCCCAAAATTCAATATTTTTCCCCCAAAGCATCTTATTGGGAGCTTATACAACTATAATACCATTTAATAGTTTCATCGCATAAAGCAATACTACACTATTGTGACCAAAATCCATTTCAAAACATCCTCTACCTTGAATTCCCTAATATCAGCTATCCTCTACCCCAATACTGGGTTTTATATGCCGACAAACGTATACCAAAAATTCAAGAGACACAATGACAGAATTCATCATAGATAAACCTCAATAAGAACAAGAGCAAAACAAACAAGCAAACAAACAAACAAAAAATTGAAAACCAGATGAGGTCCAACATGTATTAGAGGGGAATCGCCTGACAAGGTTTTAACTGTTCAAGTAAGGTTTATCATTTTTCTCCTATAGTCTTCTCTCCAATACTCTCTGTTTAGTAACCAGTTTATTCCCATCTGAGATAGTTTATTGTGCCAGCCTTGCTGATAAACACAAGTGGTATTAACTGAAGGGCAGAGAGATAAATGGCTTGGTGAGCCTCGCCTTTCTTGTCTCTCGCTCTTTGATCATCAGACCAGTGTGTGGCTGCCTTGCTTGTCCTGTGCCTCAATTTACAGACTACACTACCTGTGGGACGCCTAGCCTGTGGACTGTGTCGCTGCAAGTTGAGGTACCTTTAAGACATCTCTGGAGCTGGGGACTGGCAGTTGGTGATCTGCCTTGTGATTGGCTGCTGTGCTGACAGAGCCTAGCTCTCTCTACAAATAGAGGAAGATCTGGCAGCAGACTAGACTTGAAGGACTGCTAGTCTCTCACAACTCTCTCTCATGGATGTGAGTTGCACTGAGCCATTTGTAGTGCTTTATAATTTAACTGTTGATTTCTTGTATTATATATTTATCTGTATATGATTTAACAGTTCATTTCTTGTTATATATTTAATTATCTTCATAAATAAATATATTAAATTATCAGCATATTTGGTTTTATCTCTCTAGAGAACCCTGTCTAACACACCATCCCTCCGTTATGGAGAGAGGAAATCACCAGTGTAGATCTCACAAATGATTTTGGGGCTTTCGCTGTCATCCATAGCCTTCTGCAAACCAGAATCTCACAATTCAGACTCTGATATTATTCCCTCCTTCCACTTCAGATTACATGGCTTACAATCCTCCAGACACTGCTGTTGGTGTGCTTCTTCCATGTGACCTTAGTTAACATCCCACTTAGATGACTACTTGTTTGGGAAAAATTCTTCAAGGCCCCAGATACTAAAGAAATGCAATCTTACTGCATATAGATTCTTTAAAAGTTTCCTTCAAAATGTAAGTTAATGTGAGAAAAGATGGGAGTGAGTTCATATTTCAGGAAAGAATGGAGAGAGTACAGATGTTTGTGATGTAGATGAAGTTGATGTACAAGAAGCTGAAGGACAAAATTGCAAAGATTCATTCAACTTTTCTTTAATGCCATAATGGAGTAGACAACTGAGAGTAATTTAATTATTTACAATTATTTAATTTTATTTTTTCCTGAATATCTACTATGTAAACATAGTATAAAAACCAAAGATACAAAATAATATAAATGAAAAGTTTATCTCCCTAATTCTTACAGTTGGCTAATATTCAAGAACTTAAAAATTTACACATAATTTCACAGGCTCTAGTTTTTTTGTATATTTTTACAACAGAAGAAAATAATGTCATGTGTGCATGCATTAGGTTATAAAGAAATAAATTTATATCAGAGAAACGATTTCTAGAGTTGTAGAAGGGGAAACGTTCAGTCTGGCTGAAGTCCATAAATCAGATGTTAAGCTAGAGAATTTTCCTGACTCAGGTAGCTTCCAGGACTAGTGAAACAGGAATCAAGAAGAGCAGGTTGGTGGAGGCAGAGGTGGATGAATCTAAGGTCAGCAGACGCTATGGAAGGCCTCTGATAGTTTGTAGGGTCAGCAGCGAATAAAGTGGGCCACTGATTTAAGTTTAAAAACCAGTGGTGATAAGACAGATGCAGGACATCTCACAGAGTCTGCGTAAAAATACCTCCAGGGAAACTTCTTTCGTTTGCACCTGTGCTGTGATGAGTAATGAAGCTACACTCGTCCTTCATACTTTTACAACTGTTTGGCTGCTCAGAGTAGATCTGGCAGAGTTGATTACATTATGTTAGATCACATTATTTAGAAAGCCTCAAATGTCAAACTACTAAGAATCCTGGCCCAGTCAGGTTGGCATAAAATCTAACTTGCACAGTATTTGTATGTGAAACAAATATTATCTACTTATAATGATATTACTACATATATCACCATCAATACCTATACTAATATGTCTAAAGTATATGAGGCATATTATTAAAAAAGTGAATGCTATAGCATAGTATATTTACTGTAGAACATATATAATTCATATACTACTTTAGAAATATGATCCGTAAAGCCCAGTCCCTGGAAAAGGACACCATGCTGGGTAAAGAAGAAGACCCTTCAAAAGATGGATGGCCACAGTGGCTGCAACAATGGGCACAAACATGGCAATAACTTGAGGATGGTGCAGGACAGGACAGCGTTTCATTCTGTTGTGCACCAGATACCTGTTCAATGGAACGAACTAGATGGTACTTGATAATAACAGCAATATAGTATACACTATACTATAACATCATATATTTAATGTAAATCTGGTTTTACATTAAATATACACAACATGAGCCATGCACACTTTACACACTACACCTTGCTTTGGGGAGTCAATTTAAGAGAAATATAAAAAGGTGGGGAAAATAGGAAGAAATGGAAAACACAATTTGGTCTTGAACTGGAATTCTCTCTATAACATGGTGAATCAGTCCTCATGACCGACAGGATATCTACTGTCCTCGGTACAGTGATAATCACATGGTGAAGGTTATCATCAGTTAGTGTGGTTTTCGACAGTGGACACAATTTTGAGGTGTCCTGAATCATTAGACCAAAGTCTAAACAGAGACCGTAAAGACCCATAGAAGGAGCACCGATTAAAGGTATGAATGTGGGTCTTGTCCTTCATATTATAGAATGAGACGCATCCATCCTCATAGTCTATGAAAATGCACACACTGGAAGGCTGTACTTTTGGAGTAAGCTTTGTTTCTGGAGAACTGAGTGCCCAATATTCATTTTTATAAAACCTAATGACCCAAAACCCATTTTCAGGTTTTATTACAATCCTTCCCGTCCTCATTACATTGTCCCTGCAAATTCCTATATCCCAGGCTCCACTGGCCGTAACATCCACCTCCCAATAGAACCTCCCTGACGTGAAAAACTGCTGTCCCAGCACACAGGGAAGGGAATAAAATCTCTGTGGCTTATCAGGTCGCTCTGCAGGTGTTTCTTTCCAAGTTACACATCTCCTCCCTTCTTCCAAGCTGAGATTGGTATGAGCTGTGTCTGGGTCCAGAATCACATTTGCTGCAAAGATAATAATATGTTTACACTCTAACCAGGTTAAACTGGCCTTGGGGTCAGAATTAATCATATTAGCTAGATGTTCTTGTGTCTGTCACAGTTGCATATGTTCTCAGGTGGAGACTGTCGTAACTCCTCTCTAACAACTCCCACTGGGGCTGAAGCTGAGCCTAAGAAGCACAGTCCCTTCTACACCTTTAGGGGAAGCCTCACCAGCCTGAAAAAATTCTTTCCTCCAGTCTGAAACAAAACAAAAATACACATCATTAAGTCAAGTGCTTTAATTTCCTGGCATAAGTAACTTATTCTTTTTAAAGCTTCCTTTGCTAATGCCCCATATTGATTCCACATCCTTTGCTGGACAGAATGCTCCACTGATTTTCTTATTAAAGATTCCCATCAGAATTGGTTCCTCTAACTTATGCTTTTTGTGGTTTACAGTATTGGCGTTGACTAAAATGCAGTTATCCCTTCCTTAAACAGATGTTATTCAGGTTAAACAGAGCATAAAATAACATGACCCCAACGCATTTACTTTGAATTTGTAAAATAGAAAAGTTAAATGGTCTGAACAAATATAATCATTTTGCTCTGGTTTCTTAATATGTCTTAATCTGTGCTTTAGCTAACCTTTAAGTATGTTGTGATGCATGAGTAAGAAAAACATGAAAAAAAATATTTTTAAATATCATTTTACCTTGTTTCCTGGGGAACAAGAATCATATGGCATATAATCTCTTTCATGTTTCATTTACATATCATATAATAATATATGCTGATATAATGGCCAGAAAAATGTCACTTACCAGGGTACAATGATGTCTTCTGCCAGCCTGCAATAACACAAAATGATGAAATGTCATTCACCTCTCCTGGTACTCATATGTTTTCCTTTCTGTGCATCATTGATATTTTATCAGGAATCAATTTTACTTTTACATCTTTTCCCTTAAATTTTTTACAACTGGGTTATTAGTTTTTCTCTAAACTTGAAAATCTTGAGGTTTATGAAAATATGTGCAGAAATATAAATCAGAAGAAAAGGAAAACAAGATAAAGAGGAGAGAGAAACAACAGATGGGCGGTTTTGCGGAAGAATACACACCTTAAGAGACGAAGGTAGATAGAAGGAAAGGTAGAAAAATAGAAGCAAATAAGAAGGAAGGAGCGACAAAAACAAAGAAAAGAACAAACAGGTGAAAGAGAACGAAAATAAAATATAAATAAGACTGACAAACATTAAAAGAAATAATTGGGAAAACAAAGAAAAGAAGAAGACAGGGCAACAAAGGAAGGAAGACTGGAGGACGGAAGACCAGCTGAATCAACAAACAAAAGGAGCGAGTGGTAGGAAGGGAAAAGAAAGCTGAAAAGTTGTGTATTTATCTATATGAAAAACGCTTTCAAACAAGGGAAGAGATTGTGCTCAATATCTTTTCTACATTCTCTTCTTTTTATGCTTCTTCACAGAAAACATAGTCCAATGCCTAAAGATTTGTGGAAATGAGACTTAAAAAAGGATTAACTCTCTCAATGTTAACGGAATATCATCCCCTGAGGGAACTTCTGAATCACTTACCAATCAGGAATAGAGCCTTCCTCTCATCTGAAAGGAAATGCACTCGTAAGACTGGGGCTTTCAAAAAGACACTGATCCAGAAGCAAAGGTGTATATTCACCAGAAGAATTTCCCATAATCATTAGCCTTACTGCAGTCAAACCTTTATTCCCTTCCAAAATTTATTTTCCATAGTTAAAAAGTTCAACGATATAATCTCAAAACACAATGAGAACAAAATTACCAATTTCCTTTTGAAGTTTTCCTAAAAAAGAGGAAATCATATTTCATTTTAATGTCATAAGGCAAAGAAAAAATAAACATACAATGACAGAGGATGGTTATTAACATGAAAAATTGGACTCACTTTTCTCTTCTAAAATATGTGCTGAAAAAAAGAAAAGAAAAATGTATCATTTAATTACTTAGCGAAAATAAGATTGCAGTAGCTGTCCAAGAGGGACATTTTTAAATTCCCTCATGCACTGCTGTTTATCGATGCTTTCAGATTGTTTGTTGCTGTGGAGTGCCAATTAGTTGGTTACAACTCCTCATGGCCTTCTGACAAGAGAACAAAACAATGCCTGGTTCTGTGTCATGCTAGCAATGTTTCCTCTCTTTGAGCCATTGTTGTAGACATTATGCCAACCCATCTCTCTAAACGCGTTCCTCTTGTTAAGGTTGGCATGCTATCTACACAGCTTTCATGTCATCTGTTCTATTTGAAGAATAGCTCCAAGTGACCATATGCTTCCAATTAGGGCGTGCAGAATTGAATGCCGGCGAAGTAACTATGAAGTCACGCTGCACAGTCTATTAAAGAGAGAGCTGAGAATGAGAGGGCTCAATAACTTGACAAACTTCCTACTTTTGAAATGCAGAATGAAGATTCCTAATGACTCTGCCAGTGGGCTCTGGTGTGGCATAGGAACTTATGAGTTGGGCTATGAACCGAAAGGTCAACAATGGGAAGCCAGCAGATGCTCTACGGGAGAGATGAGCTTTTCCACTCTTAGAAGAGTACAGCTTCAGAATCACAGTGGGACAGTGTGACCTTGTCCTAGAGGGTCACTATGAGTCAGGGGCATGAAGAGAGAAGTAGATAAGGGAGTTTAAACTAGAGTAGTAATTGAAAAGCTCAAATGAGAACAGCCCACAAAAAGTACATAGATGAAGTGGAAGGCATATAAAAGGGATGAAGCAAGCAGAAATCACTGAAGGAATATCATATCCTACTTTTAAAATCGTCATTAAAGTTTACCAAATTCTTTCTGGACTTCACTTGAAAAATAAAGAGAGTACTATGAAACACTTTGAAACAGAAATAAGAAAAAAAGTCTTCCAAAACATTTGGCAAAGAACATATATGTAATAGGAATGTTTCAAAGGGAAAAGAAGAATAAACAGACAAAGGACATAACTAATATTCTTTTCTAGATGTTTTAGTAAAATGCCTTTGAGGTCAATATTATTTAATTTGAAATTAAAAAATACCTATAACCATCAGGTTACAGCTTGATGGTGCCTCATTGTGGTCATGAACTTCTCAATAGGAGGACCTACGGAACCCTCCTTCTCTCTGCCTTGACCTTCCTGCTTGCTCACCCTGAAAGCTGCTGGAGCCCTGCCATGCTTCCAACCGTCTTGGATCCATGCAACTTTGCAATCACTGGCCTGTGATATTCCTGTATTCCGCATCATTGCATGGGACTGCATGAGTCTAAAGAGAACTTTTGGACTAATTGTGGAGTTGACATAGACTGCACTGGGATGTCTTCTTGATACATAATTACCTCTTGATACAAAACTGTTTATTACACTTATGAGTGTCACTGGATCTTTCTTTCTAGTTAATCCAGACTACAACAACTATTGTCACTATGATCACGACTATGATTGTCACTATCATCATTGACATCACCACAAGTGCCTGTCTTACTGCCTACATTACAAGCAGGATGACCGCTGATCATTAGTGGTCCTCGGCGAGTAAATGATGTAGAAGATGAAATTGAGATTAAAGCGTGGACATAGAACTTGTTGAAAGTCCTACACTTTCTTATTACAGATTTGAAATTTTATTCAAAGTTCATTTGACTATAAGTTGGTTTTATACAAATGATTCTGATTTCTGTATTTTCAACCGTGTCCCCAGCATCGCTTTAAAGCACTGCCCTGGTTGACTCTCAACTAATAAGAGATACTTGGAATTGTGTTCATTCTTAATAATAAGCACGTGTAAAAGCAAACATAAGAAGAAAATCAAAGTCTAATCCAATTAGATGTCACAAAAAATGAGTTTCACTTTAGGATTATAAGGTAAAGTTTTTGAGAACCCTCAAGAAACATTATAAAGATTGTTCTTCTGTAGAATAATTCAATCCTTCTAAAGGTGAAGTATGGATTGTCTTTTGTTTGGTTTTGATTGAGGTACACGTTTTGAGTGGTCATGAGCGGGTGCTGAGGATCCCTTCCAACTCTATATCTTACTCTGAATTCAGGCCTGGCATCTATAATTCTGGAGTTTGTCAAGAATTTCTGCAGGACAATTGACCCCTCTTCTGTGTTCTGGTCCTTGGCAGTTATTCTACACTGTGATGCTATTCGTTCATATTTTGTATTTTAGCATTGAAAAAGTCCTGGTCTGCTCATGATAGTTTTTTAGCAGTCACTTCTCATAATTCCATTGTTTCCCATTATGTCAATGATTTATTTCACATTTTCTTCTTATATGAAGATCTAGCAAAGAAGAGACTTGAAAACGTATTTCCAGGAGAGCTCCATAGTGCAGTCCGTCATTTGATTTGCTGACTTCTACTTTGTTGATCATTGATTGTGGACTCAAGAGAATGATGCCTAGTATGCATGTGTTTTCTAATTTTAAATCACGCAGTGCACCTTTGTTTTATTAGAAAACCTGCATCTTTGGTCTATGTACAAGTTCCACAGGAACACAATTAAATGCACTGTAAGTCCCATTATTTATCCATAACGTCTTATGATTCACAGAGTCAAAAGCCTGTGCATTGTCAATGGTAGTCTCTGTTTTCAGTAAGATACACCTGAAATCAGCAATAGTATAGTTAATGCCATGCCCTCTTTCGATTCTGCCTTAAATTGTTAGTCTTGTCCTGTCAATGTACAGTTTCACAACAAGCAAATAAACAACTAGTTTTTTATTTTGTTTATTACATTTCAGGTATTCAACTTTGTATTTCACTAATGAAATCTCTCAATAGTTTGCCCTTCCACTGCTCCCTCTTGTGGATGATTATCTTCCATCTCACCCAAGTTAACATGTCAATCTTGTAACTCAGTGCTTTAACTTCTCTCCCTTGCCTTCCTCACCTTGGCAGTCCCCAAAATCTGTTCCATTTTTTTTTTTTGGGGGGTGGGACTTTATCTAGTTCTTTCCCTCTGTAACAGAGGTATCATAAAACAACATCTTTATGTAATTGCATTTTTTTTACTCAGCATAATGTTCTCCAGGTCCAAGAGGTGCTTCATGGTTTCATCATTGTTTCATGCATAGTTTTCCACTGTGTGTCACCGCCATTGAATTGGTGACAACTCATAGTGACTCCATAGAACAGGATAGAACTGTTCATTGAGTTTCCAAAACTTTAGCTATTTGTGGCAGTAGAAAGCCCTGTCTTTCTCCCCTGGAGTGGCTGTGGTGCGGAGAGTTTGAACTACCAACCTTGCGGGTGTAAGCACTGAACCACCAAGTGTATGTACCAATATTTCTTTATCCATTACTTTAATAATGAGCATTTTTGTGGTTTCCATCTTCTTGCTGCAATGAATATGAGCGAGCATATGTATGTCCGTGCTATGAATTCTCTTTCGTGAGAATATATGCTCACTTCGTAGAGGGATCGCTGGGTCATCCAGAATTTCTCTTCTCATGTGTTTCAGGTAGTTGCTTTCCAAGTGGCTGTACATACTTACAGTCCCACCAGCAATGTGGGAGGACTCCAATCTCTCTGCAGTCTCTCAAGTATTTGCTAGTTTCTGTTCATGTTTTTAACATGGCTGCTATTATTGGTGTAAGGAGGTGTCTCCTCCCAGATTGCAAACAATCATGAGCATTTCTTTATGCGCTTCTTGATGATTTAGCTATTTTCTTTGGTCAACTGTCCACTCATGTGCTTTGTCCACTTTTTAACTGGGTTATTTATCTTTTTTCTTATTGAAGCATTGCCGATTTTATAGTTTAGTGATTAGTTCCTTGCCTATTGTGTCAATGCCAATGATTTCCCCACCCCACCCCCACTCAGTGGATTCTTTTTACTTTTATGATAAAGTATTCTGATGTACCTATGTGTCTTATTTTTATTAGATCTCAGCCACCTGTTTCGTTGTCTACTGTGTGTTCCTGTCATTCAATTTGATAATATACGGTCCTTAGGTTTGTTCCTGTTTTCTCACTGATGATCTTCATCGCTGTGGGATTTACACTTAGATCTTTGATCCATCTTGAGTTTGTTTTTGTGCCCGGAGAGAGGGATGGGTCCGGGTTCATTCTTCTACAGATGAAAACTCAACTTAGCCAGCCTCATTACTCACCATTGTCGTACTGTTATGGATTGTGTGCTGTTGTGATGCTGGAAGCATGTCACTAGTATTTTCAAACACTAGCAGTTTCACCCAAAGTGAATAGGTTTCAACAGAGCTTCAAGACGAAGAACAGATTCTGAATAATGAACAGATTTTCCACTTCAGAGGAATTAGCCGTGGAAACATTTTGGATAGCAGCAGAACATTGTTCGGGGTAGTGCCAGGAGATGAGCCCCTGAGGTTGGAAGGCAGTCCACATGTGACTGTGAAAGAGAGGTCTTCTCAAAGCACAATCAATGATCATGATGTGGATGGAGCAAAGCCTTTGAGACTAATGCCTTGAGGGTCTTTATTGGCTGATGGGAAATGCCTCAAGATAAGAAGAAAAATCTGCAAATCCCTATTTATAAGCAGAACTTAGAATGTATGAAGTATGAACCTAGGAATCTGGACGTTATTCAGAATTAAGTAAAATGCACAAAAATGGATATATTGGGAATTAATGAGCTGAAAAGACTGACACTTACCATGTTGGATCAGAAAGACACATGCTCTGTTACGCCAGGAGTGACAGACTGCAGAGGACTGGCGGCACATTCATTGCCGGATCTGTCGTGTAGGACAGTGCTGCCTGTGATACAATGATCTTTCCATAAACATGGAAAGCTAGTCCAAACAACTATTATTCAAATTTTTATACCAACCACTAAAGCTAATGGTGCATAAATTGACAAATTCTACCAATGTCTTCAATCTGAAATGGATTTTAAAAAGCAACCAGGATGCATTGATAACTAATAGTGATTAGAATACAAAAGTTGGAAAGAC